ATTGAATTGAAATTCTTTGATGCAATAATCGACATCCTTATTTCCACTTGTCCATTCTTGTTGCATTTTTGAGGGTCACACGTTTGGCACCAAGCTGGCGATGTATTATACTGATTGCAATTTGCACATATTCCATTGTATTTATCTTTCTAAGAATCAAATTCATCTAAGATGATTTGGGGCTTTGCAGTAGAAAACGACACGGGATATATTTTTCAATTATAAATGGAAATAGATTTGCATAATAAAAATCGAAATACAGTATTTTAAAAATTTTTGAGAGTTTCATACATCACCGAATCAAAACAAAAACTCGATTTTCTCTAAATTTTATATTTTCCAGTAGCGGCCCTTTCTATTGCAAAGCCCTATTTAATGTGTTAATGTGTTACAAAGAAGTTATTGTTATACGTTTGACAGTATGTAACACAATGCTAAAAGCCAGTCATATCAAAATCTTATTTTTTTAAACTGTACATGTATATAGCGATAATGTTTTTACTCGATTAATCGATCTATTCGGGAATAGATATTCGAATAAATTATTTGGATCATATCAAAATTTCCCATAGAATGATTATCGGTAATAGCGTTATTATTGTCTTGTCCTTTTTACTATGTGTTGTTAATCGCAACTTAGTTGTAGTACAAAATGAGAGTGTATAGGTATAGGCTTTTCATTCGAAAGAGTTTATTATTATTTTAGAACCTATAGTATAACGTTCTTTATTTTTAATAATAATAACAGATTTCCATGTTTTTATATGTATAATAAAAGATTTACTTATATGAAGGTGTTGAATTGTTATCATTAATGTCTATATCTTACATATCCAAAATATTCTTTAACCACTTAAGGCCATTCTATCTCTTTGTACTTTTATTCCATTAGTAACACCTACGTTCCATCAAGCACAAGATATCCATTCGATACAATTGGTGAGCATCCTATGGCCTATATATATATATTCTACGATATGACGGGGTATGTTCTTCCAAGGATAACAGCGTAAAACAAATATATATATACCAAATTCGCAGCACCAGATATAGTCTAATTCATTGCAAGAAAGTTTAATTGTAGAAAACTCAAAACCTCATAGTAAGCACTTAAAAAAGATTATGAAATACGGCCTTTATAATGGTCAATGAAAATTAATAAACAGAAAAATGTTTTTAAGTGAAACAGAGTTAGAATTCAGCCTTTATTAATACAACCAAGAATATTAAAAGTGAAGCGTGAAAGAAAAAAAAAAAAAATCAAGTTTAAAAATGTAATTGACGAATGTTTGCTAAAATAAATGTTAAGTAATAGATTAGAATTTATCCATCATTAATTAATTAAACGTTATAAAATTCAAATTACTTATTTATTCACCCTTTAAATTTTATCGATACAGTGAAATCAAATAAAGAAAAATCCTTATTTAATTTATTCGACTTTATTCGAATAAAACTTTATTCAATTAATCGATTAAATTTGAATAACCTCAAAAAAATCTTATTCTATTAAAGCACTACTTGTATAGAAAAAGGTACTATATTTAATATAGGTATATCGCCAAGTATTATTCAAGAATTAAACTGGGTGAACACGATGAATAACGATAAGCGGCAACAAATTTGTGATTTAATTATGATCATATTATGACAAACAATTAAAGTATCTAGGGCTTACATATTATTTTAAATATATTATAACATTTTTGAAAGATGATTTAACAAAGATGTCAATGTTCAAGTATATTTATTTTTTATTACGAGACGAAAATATATACAGTGTTTATGCGCCATGGTCTGCAGTGCATTAGATTCTCCACAGATCCATATTGAAATAATTTGTTTGATTGTGATCTAGAAATTTTTTCATGCAAATAACGAAATAATTTTCATTTCATTTAATCGTACTTAAGTAATATCAAAATTATTAATTTCATCAGATTTACCTGTTCAACCTTAACAAATCCAACTTTTCAATAGTATTCGACACTTCAAGAAAGGTTATAAAGATTCAGATCATCATTAATGGACAGCTGATTTATTTTCTGATCAATAGAATTCCTTTAAAGAAGCAAATATCAAGAAGAATACAGTGTTAAAGCTTATAATTTGTGTAATAGAGGCTATCGTTATAGATTCGAAACTAATTCTCTGTATTACATTATGCATCAATAAATCTGGAAACTGAAAATTATAGATTTGTCTAGCAATGGTGGCACACCAGTTTAGTTTCCAGGTACAAGATGGCGAAAATTACGGATCTAAAAAAAGTGACAAATGAAATTATAAAGCAGTGCTAGAAAGATTTGGCCGTAAAAATACTGTATGATAGTTATAGAAACAATAAAAAACTAATTATGCACGACTAATAAAGCAACCATATATATCATATATATTTACAAAAAATATAAATAGCTATTTGTCTTTTTATTTTATTTTTATTTTTTTTTATTACGTCACTTCTCTTACCCCATCTTTATAATCTCACGATTATACCAATTATTTGTTTTATATAATCTCGAAAATGGTAGGTTTCACCTAATCACCTTTTTGTGAGATTGTTTAGCATTCCGATTACTTGAGTGAATTACGCGTTTTTCTATATTTACTTTACTGCGCAAGAATTAAAGAGTTAATATTTGTTATTTCTGTTAGTTATCCTTGTTGAGAGAATACATAGCATATAGTTGTTCGTTCAGTCGTTTTTTTTTTCTTTTTTACAGTAAAATATAATGGTAATAATGTTTTGGATTAAGTTTAATGATTACTATATGTGATTTTAGCTATAATTAATCGCATGATGGAAAAGCGAAGGTTAATAGCATAAAGTAATTAGCTCAATCATCATCTCTACATTTTAGCATAATGTGAGTGGCTCAAGTGTAACGAAACAATAAATCTAAAGTTCCAGGAGAACGACAATATTTAATAGTTAAGCATGTTTATGTATTGTAATAATTTAGAAAGGAAAATTGATATTTCAAACATAAAACCTATAACTAGCAAAAATTAAGCATGAGTAAATATTAAACCAATCTTTTTGTTAATCGTGCTTACGTCTTCAGTTCAGGAGAAATAATCCCGTGATCCAAAGTCAGGTGATCGATGACAGGAATTAATTCAATAGATTGGTTATATTACATCCCGATGACGATTTATTTAAAATTGTTTATTGAAAACTACTCGTGCTGGAGGTCATAACTTGCCAAGGACCAATAGTGGATTATTTCATTGGGTAATTCTGTCGTGAAGTTAATAATCCCTAAGCCTACGTACGAGATCTACCAATAAATCCACAAATTGATGATTTTAAGCGACGTCAAATAGGAATTTACCAAATTTTTAACTTTATTTTATTTACTTGTTTGGCCGAATTTTTAAGATCAAAGTATATATCTAAGATTAATAACATCTAGTGGTAACAGTTCACTAAGTCCAAATAATTTTGATTTGCAATTCCTTATATTATAAACAGCCTTTTTATTTATTGGCAAAAACTAGCCTTCTTTCGCTATTTATGAAAGTCAATACGGGCTTGGAATTTTCAAATTTCTCCAATGCTAATGAAATTTCAGAAAAAATTTCCATAATTCCCATGAAATATTTGATATACAGAGCACTTTCATTTGTATAACGCGGCAATTCTAATACTAGATTTATTATGGTTATGAGGCATTAAACTAATAGGGGGTTTCAAAATTAATGATCAGATTTTAGATAAAATAAGTGATGTATTTACTTCAAAACAACCAACCTATAAATCTTTTTTTTTTTTTTGAAATATATAATTATTTATATAATTGTTTGCCGGTAGATTTTTATAAAAAAAGCTAATTTTATCATCCTGATTTGAAATTTTAAAGCAGAAAGTAGGAAATTTTTAACCCCACTTATTTTCGAATAAGTTAATTCTGAAACTCCCTAATGTCAATAATTATTGAGAAATTAAGATATAAAAAAAGCTATTTTAAAATGTATATATGAGGATTTAACATAAAAAATTTAGTAATTTATTTTGTACAAAATAATTCGTTATTTACTTACTTACGCACTATCAACATAAATTGTTTTTTTGAAAAAACTACTATCTTGCAAATGTGAAATTAATATTATTAGTAATCAATTGATCAGTGCTTTAAATTTTCCATTTAATGTGTGATGTAAGCGTGACTAGATCGATTACACAGAGACAATGGGCAAAGTATCACATACTAATAGAAGCAAATTGATAGAGATTCTTTCGGTTATTTTTGCACCATAGGTTATACAGTGGCTAGGATCAGTAATTGGTTCTATCGGCTGAATGTTTTGCGTAACAAATATAATTTCAAATACATTTTAAGCGAAATAAAAATAATCATTCGATAAAATTGATTAATAAATACTGTATTTGATACATGAGTGGGTTCAATATTTGATATTTTTCTCATGACATTCGTATTCAATGGAAAGATGTTTACTCCTAATATTAAACGACAATTTGCTTTTAAATTATTATGCTCAATTTGATAATTAGCGTAACCGAATTGACTAGAAAAAATCGATCGGAACACATTTTTCAATCACATGTACTCTACTAATAATTTTGATTACACTGCAAAAGTTCAATATTAGATATATACAAGTTTTCTAAATTTCAGCTATAAGCTTAATTAGAAATCCACCAATTTAACAACAGAATCACAAAATCTAATATTAAATTACATCATTTCAATAGCTTAAACTTCAGATTTTAAATCCTAAATTATAACTGTTTAATATACTTATGGATAATTATTGTTCATTATTAACTTTGTCAATGGCTGTAGAGACCAAATGTTTAATAAATAAATTAACACATTATCATTATAAATCAATAAATTAAAAATATTAAATACATACGTGAAATATCATTACAAAAGTCATCAGAAATTGAAAAATCGATTGTGGTAGAATCTAAAAAAAAATAAGTAAAAATTTGATCGATCAAATTGAACAAATTATAATATTATAATAGTTAATTATTTACCACAAATTTTTGGCAATTTCACAGGTGAAATAAACGAAGAATTAACTGGTCTAGAAAGATTTTTAAAGTTAAGCAGTTTACTTGTAAGCTTATCTTTAGGACAGATTGGTAATTCGTTTGATAATGCTGGAAGAATTGTATCGGCTGATTGAAATTCTTTTAATATTTCTAATCCATTTTTATCCTTTGCTGCATTATTGCATACTATATAATACCATCTTGATAGTTCATCGTAGATATAAGATGCAGTTGGTCTATTAGAAGGAATAGCATCCATACATTGATTTGCTAGTTGGATATAACACTCAGGAGTGCCTTTAGCAAATTCAGGGCGTAATCCATTACATATTTGGACTGCCAATATTTCATCATATTCAACATCATAATGAGGCGGTCTTCCTATAGACACTTCGGTCATAATAATACCAAAACTATAAATATCTGCGGCTGTTGTATATGCTTGTTTATTTAACACTTCCGGGGCAACGTAAGGTAATACGCCATAAATACCATCATCTAAAACCGAATCATTTTTTTTTCTAGATAACCCTAGATCTGCGATATAAGATATTAGATATCCATTAATGTATTGATTTTGTAATATATTACCACTATGAAAATCTCCATGAACATATTCTGCTTCGTGAACTTTTGTTAAATTTTCCGATATATCGAAAAGTTGCTTTAATTTACTTTTCCAATTAAGTTCTCTAAAATTTAATGATAGAAACTTATGAAGGCTTCCTTTATTTGCATATTGTAATACCATCAAATATTCATTATTAGATGTGTTTTGAGTTATTCCATACACCTCAAAATTACTACCCACTAATCTTAATTCTGTATAACTTTTAAACTTGTTAAATAAAAATTTATAATGTTAATAATTTATCTATATTAGGTTATAAATAAATCATTTTACTTACTTCTCTTAAAAAATCCTTTTGTGAACCTGGCAATGTCTTAAGTGCAACTATACATGATGGTGTACGTGATTGTGTATATTTTTCAATTTCACTTGAAACTATTCCTTTACCATCTAACCACTCTGCTGAATACACAGATCCAAACCCCCCTTCACCAATTTTTTGAATATTATCTAATCTAGTAAAAGGAATCCACTCGATCACATTTTCATATTCTGTGGCTTTAAGTTG